GGAGTTGGCCCGGCGACCCTAGCCCACCCCCACCAGAAACAAGAAGTGCTCCCTAACTACCTGTGGGGGCTGTACTAATTCACCAGCCCAGACCGCATTCTGTGGGCCTGAGACCTGGCGGGCAGTGGGGACGCAGGGTGCACAGGTCACCTGTGCTCCGGCCCTTTTATAGTCAGTGGCCAAGTGGGAAAGACGGGCATTTGGAGAGAGGAGCAGGGCACCACCCCAAGACCAGGAGCAGCCCAGGACGTCTTCCTGAAGAGGCGACTCTTCCCCTGAGCTCAGAGGGCGGACCTGTCAGGGAGGAGAGTTTTACACAGAGGGAAGAGCTGGGGAGCAGCCTGGGTAGTGGGCAGAGTGTGGGGATTTTAGGACTGCCACTGAGCACTGCGGGGCTCTTCCTGGACTGCCGCAGAGTGCTGGGTTCAAGGACTGCCATGACCCTGAGTACTGCCAGCCTCTGCCTGGACAGCCCAGACTGGGGCATTTCCTTCCCCTCCCCTTAGCTGTGAGGGCCTGGACCAGGGACTGCCCCACCCCAGGCCTTAGTCCCCGTCTGTGAGATGGGCCCGTGTAGGAATGCGAGGGCTGGGAGGGGATGCGTGTGAGTGCACAGAACACGCTCTGCACACAGCTGATGCCAGTGCTGTTCTCAGGGCTGATGTTGGAGGAGAAGGGGCTGAGGTCAGGCCGGGCCTGGAAGCCCCCTCAGCCTGGCACTGTTAGCAGAGAAGGGAGGGGGAGGCCCTGGCTGCAGCTGGAAGAACTGAGTGGAGGTAAGAATGTGTGTTCAGGGACCAGCTAGTTGTTGACCGCAGGGTCCAGCACCTCAGAACCCATCACCTGTCTCCATCCTAATCACTCATCCTCCCACCTCAGTGCCTCCTCCTATTCCTGACCACTCCCTCCTCCTGTCACACTCACAGGGGCTGAAGCAGGAGGACTGAGCTCACTTGGATGTCCGTCCTGGTCCTGGGCCCACTGTGACAATCTCCTGGAAGAAGGACCGGCAGCACCTGTTGGCAGCACATGGGGGACCCCGTGAGCACCTTCTACATCCCTGAGTGCTGTCACTTTATACCATGCAGGGAACCACGTGCGTCCCCTCCACAAGAAGCCTTTTCAAGAGGAGGACATCAAGTCCACCTGGACCCTGGCCAGTTCAGTCTCCATCCCTTAACCCCCCTGATTGAGAAGGAGCACAGGAAGGGGGTTTGTGAGCCGCACCAGGAAAGGGCATCCCCTGTCCCAGGAGCACCATGGTCCCCAGGTGTGGCCTGGGAGGAGCTCAATGCACAGCTGTGCTCGGGGTGCAGAGGAGGAGACGCAAGGTCTTACAGGGAGGGGAGCTCACTATCATTTTCCCTGAGCTGGGCCAGACCTCAGGGCTTGCTTTATTGCTGGCTTCACTGCTGTCAGAGGCACTGGTCTGCTGCATTCCAGAGAGTTCTAAATGCAGCGATAGCTTCTCTTTTCATTTTTCGATTTTTAATTCACATATACCAATGGGGTGGAGTGTGCTTGTGAGCACGTGCACACAATCTGTGATGATCAAACTGAGACAGAAACATGTCTGTCATCTCCGACACTGATCACGACTTTGTGCTGTGGGCATTCAGTTTTTCCTTCTAGCTATTCTGTAATGTGTCTTATATTTTTTAAGTGCAAAAATGCATTTATTCAAAATCCTTGAGAAGTTACCGTTTCTTCAAAAGGTTCTTTATGAACAAAAAGCCAAGAAAAATTGTAATACTAGCTTATGCCAAACCCAAGATCTACATCTGATATATATAAACATTAAAAAGCACTAACACGGGGAACATGACTACAGATCACCTTTGGAATATTTCTAATGACACAGCTGCAACTTCCATTATGTTAAGACAGACATAAGTGATAGCATTAGTGATAGCACATACGCACTTGAAGTGTCATATTTATTTAAGATAAAAAAGATAAAACTACAGACAACGTCACCCAGCGGTTCCAATATAGACAGGAACATTTGATTCCCTTAAGCACAGCAGTTGCTGTTGCCGCTTCTTCCCAGTGCTGAGAACTTGCACAGCCACTGCTAGAGTCCTCACAACCACTGTCCCTCACAGGCTCGGGGACAGCAGGCAGCAGCGTTCGGTCCCGGGGCTTCTACACCCACCCTGTCTGCGGGGAGAGCAGGGACATCTTCCACCACGTGCAGCTCCGTGTGTGAACATGTCCTGTCCCTGGGGAAGCACCTGTCCCCAGGTAAGAGAAGGCTCAGCCATGCCCCTCATTCCAGAAAGGACTTTATTTACTTTGAAATACTTGTATTAGCCTTTTAGGTTTTCCTTTCTTAAATCATGCAAAGAATATGTTTTATGTCAAATCTTTTTAAGATAATTTATTGGCAATAAGAATTTTTTAAAAGATACCTAAAAACAATATATTAATCAGCTTAAAGTAAGACAGGGGCATGTCGAGTGAAATGAAACACCTGATATACAGATTTTCTCAAATGTCATCTTTGATTATTACTGCTCGAGATGCCCAGGCTCGGAGAGCTTATTTTGTATTCCCCTCTGTTGAGAGAGATCGACGTTGTCATAACAGGCTATACAGCCACCACTGTAAGAACAGGAAGACTAAGGACAGCTTAGACGGGGCTCCTCATGACAACCACCATCCCACAGGCTCAGGGGTGGCAGGCAGGAGCATCTTGGAACCCGGGCTTCTACACTCACCCCATCTGTGGGGAGAGAGCAGGGATGTCTTCCAGCAAGTACAGCAATGTGTGTGGACATGTCCTGGCCCACCCAGGAAGCACCTGTCCCCCAGGTAAGAGGAGACTCAGCCATGCCCCTCATTCCAGAAAGGACTTTATTTACTTTGAAATACTTGTATTAGCCTTTTAGGTTTTCCTTTCTTAAATCATGCAAAGAATATGTTTTATGTCAAATCTTTTTAAGATAATTTATTGGCAATAAGAATTTTTTAAAAGATACCTAAAAACAATATATTAATCAGCTTAAAGTAAGACAGGGGCATGTCGAGTGAAATGAAACACCTGATATACAGATTTTCTCAAATGTCATCTTTGATTATTACTGCTCGAGATGCCCAGGCTCGGAGAGCTTATTTTGTATTCCCCTCTGTTGAGAGAGATCGACGTTGTCATAACAGGCTATGTAATAATACACACAGAAAACGACGCTGGAGCATTTCTGAGCGTCAACAGTTCAAGTCACTGCTGCTTCCTGTAGATGACGCACTCACAGACGTCCAGACAGGAGGGGAGCTGTGGAAAAGCACACCTACCCCGACCTGGCTCTGCCTCAGCCTTGGTGCCTCCTCTGCTGAGAACGGACAGGAAATGACGACCTCGGATTCTCAGTGAGGTAATGCAACAGGCTTACTCAGGCACTCAGAGTAAAATCAAGTTGTAAAAAGTGAGAACTTCCAGTGTCAGCGGGAATGCAGTGCAGGCTGGGCACGTTGGGAGTCACTGGGCATGTGGGGAGCCGCTGCCCCGGCCTGGGGAAGGTCACCACGGCCCTAGCACTTACCTCTGAAGCGGGCAGGTCAATCCTGTCCCCCTCCTCCCTCCCTCCAGGGAAAGGAAGCATCTACAAGGCGGTTCTGAGCCCCAGAAAGGCTGGCCCACGTTCTGCCTCTGCGGGCGGTCACACTTGTCACCACTGGGAAATAGCCACAGGACTCCCCCGACCGCGATGGCATTGCTGAACCTCCTCTAACTGCAGGAGACAGGAGTCACGCAGTTCCATCCCCGGGTTCATGAAGCCCATTGGCGTCCACGTGGGCCTGAGGAAGTTGTTCTCTCCCCTCCATCCCCGTCCCCCACAGTCCTTGGGAGTCCTGGAAGGCTCAGGCTGTCTGTGCTCCTGCTCCTGAGGTGTCCCTGCTCGGTGGCCCCGGCTGCCTCGCTGCGCAGGGATGAGGCCTCCCCCTGAGTCCTAGCTCCTCCTGGGAGACTAACTCCTTTTGAGTTTTCTCATCACAGTCTCTCTACTTTTCGACGATGGAGTCCCAGCGTCCCTCATCTCTCCGCCCGTGGCCTGTGACAGCTTCCCCTCACGGTAGGGCTGTGACCCTGCAGCAGGGCTCGGCTCCCAGCACGTTCCGAAATACTCGGATCCGCGTCTGCCGCCCGCGTTGATGCGGGGCCACCTGGGTCCAGGCTCCAGGCTCCGCACTGGCCCCTGACAGGGTGACCGTCACGGACACTCGCTGCCCGCTGTGCTGTCATTACAGGGCGCAGCGTCAGCGCCCCCTGACACGTGTCAGCCGCACAGGAACCTCACGGCTCGTCCTGACGTCACCTGACAGGTTTTAAGAGGCCGGTTACACGCTCCCGTCAGGATAGGTGGAGACACGCTGGTGGTGTAGACCGCAGCGACACCGAGTCAGAGTAAGCGCCGAGCCGTCAGCGTGTAGACAGGGCTAGGGCTGCTCCCCTAAACACCC